AATAACATCTCCAGGTAGAAAAGCAAGCGGTTCTGTATACCCTCAACCCGAAAAGTTACGCAAACACACTTGCAGATTTTCCTTTTTTCATTCTTACAAATTTGATCCATGACGTCGTCGCAGTGGAAGAAGCTCTGACCACTCCGCTATCACATACATTTTCCTCCTTTTTTTTAAGTTATGTAATTTAAATCCCGCGATATCTCAACTTTATTGCAAAATATTGTCTTTATGTTGATAAGAAGCGGTCCCATGTCACAGCGGGGGCTCTTCTCCTGATGTTTTCCATACTCTGCAGGTTACATAAGCTCAGTCACAGTGGAGTCTATTATCACGTCTTATTATGTCATGTCTTAGGCCCCATTCACAGCCGTATCTTCAATGGGTACAACTTGTTTTCTCGTTTAGAGTCTGTCAAGGGCATCCATATCACCCTATCGCTATAATGTACATCTGAGTAGCCGAGCGTATCGTTGTTAAAGCATAGAGCAGGACGACATGTTATTTATTCTGTGTCACTTCCAAATAGATATGATTAAAAAAATACGACAAAGAGGATCGAGTCTCGTCCAAACTTCTGGGTCAGTTGTTTACGTGTTTTGTTTCATTTACTCATGTTTAACACACAAATGCTGCATATTTATCCTGAGTTTTTCTCTCAAACAGAAAACTCGCTGTCAGTTTTGTGTAATATAGGACCTTTAAACGTTGAACCGTGAATGAAGAACATGTTTCTGAATGAACTGGTAGCCCCGCCCACTTTCACTCAGATACTGAACTGCGATAAAGAAACAAAAGATAAACAAATAAAAGACAAGCCGGACCCCAAAAATGGCTCTAAATCTGATTTCATATCGTCGTTGGCAGCTCCTTCCTTTTGGTTCTCACTCGTTTATCAGTATATAATAATCGAGACCAAGACCAGTCCGAGACCACAGGGTCCCGAGACCAAGACAAGACCAAGACCTCTGAGGGTCAAAACCGAGACCAAGACTTTTAAAGGCCGAAACTGAGACAAGACCAAGACTTTTAAAGGTTGAAACCGAGACAAGAACAAGACTTTTAAAAGCCGAGACCAAGACAAGATCAAGACTTTTAAAGGTTGAGACCAAGACAAGACCAAGACTTTTAAAGGCCGAGACTGAGACAAGACCAAGACTTTTAAAGGTTGAGACAAGACCAAGACTTTTAAAGAGACTGAGACAAGACCAAGACTTTTAAAGGCGAGACGAGACAAGACCAAGACTTTTAAAAGGAGACAAGACAAGACTTTTTAAAGGGAGACGAGACAAGACCAAGACTTTAAAAGGCTGAGACTGAGACAAGACCAAGACTTTTAAAGACTGAGACAAGGCCAAGACTTTTAAAGGTTGAGACCGAGACAAGACCAAGACTTTTAAAGGTTGAGACCGAGACAAGACCAAGACTTTTAAAGGCCGAGACTGAGACAAGACCAAGACTTTTAAAGGCTGAGATCGAGACAAGACCAAGACTATGGCCCATCGAGACCATCTTTGTAATTTTCAACTGAGTCCAAGCGCTTTCAAGACCGAGACAAGACCAAGTCCAAGTACCTTCAAGACCGAGATAAGACCAAGTCAAAGTACCTTCAAGACCGAGACAAGACCGAGTCCAAGCGCCTTCAAGACCGAGATAAGACCAAGTCCAAATACCTTCAAGACTGAGACAAGACTGAGTCCAAGTACCTTCAAGACGAAGACATGACAGAGTCCAAGCGCCTTCAAGACCGAGACAAGACCGAGTCAACGCGCTTTAAAGACCAAGACAAGACCAATTCCAAATACACTTTAGTGTGAGACAAGACCGAGTCCAAGCGCCTTCAAGACCGAGACAAGCCCGGTTCCAAATACCTTCAAGACCGAGAAAAGACCAATTCCAAGCGCCTTCAAGACTGACACAAGACCGAGTTCCAAGCGCCTTCAAGACCGAGACAAGACCGAGTCCAAATGCGCTTGAGTCTGAGACAAGACCAAGATCGTAAAAAACGGTCTCGAGTACTACAAAACTATCATCAGCTAGTGGCTCTTTAAAGGTACAGTGTGTTACTTTACTTGCACATCGCCCGCTTGTTTCCACGGTAACATAACATTAAAAACCATTCTTGACCCTCCTCCAGGCCAAGAAGAGTCAGGTTTATGGAGATGCAAGTCCGCTCAGAGTAAGTGTGCATATTTTTCTGTGATTTTCAGTGCAATAAACCTTACATAATTGGGGGACATTTTAATTTGATTTTATTTGGCTAAAAAGTTCCATACTGTGTAGGTCACTCACATAACCCACTGTATGTTAAAATAGAAAAGACAATATGTAAATGAATGTTTATGAGAATAACATTTGCATAATCATCGGCTCGTCGTCCTGCAGGAAGTTCACCAACGCTGCTCCGAAATGAACTTCTGTAATAACTTTTGTTTTCTCAGCACGTGTAATTAAAAAAAAACAAATAGTAGAAGGTGGAGTTGTGATGTTAGAGCAGTTA